CTTGCAAATTGTGTTACACAATTCAGACTAATAACGACGCTTCCGGCAGCGCAAAAATTCAATTATCGTTTCCATCCTGGCGCGCATTAATACTAAGGGAAAATTATGTTTTATGCAATTTTCGCGTTCGCGGGATTGTCCGCGGATGCATAAGGAATTTCTCTCACACCAGGCACGGCATACTAATGGAGAATTTCTTCGTTCCGGTGTCAAGTTATCGGCCAGTTTATTCATTCGCGACGTATTGCATATTAGCGGAGGTGTCGTGCTTTATTTTACACGGTGTGACGCAGCCCCGGTGGGGCCATTTGCAAATGAAGCCGCCCGGCAGCACGGAGAGAATGCGCTTCGATGTTTTTTTAATGAAGTCGGCCCATACTCGGGCAACTATATACCATGTATACATATAACACCGGCTGTACAGTAAAATTAAAGTTCCCGAATGGCGAATTGTTTTAATTAGTATTGCATATACGCGGCAAAAATAACGGCGGCACTGTGCATGACAATGAATATTAATGACATATTTAAAGGATATGCTATATATGAGCGATTATGTTAACATGCATAAGATTTTAATAGAATAGGATGTAGCCGACCATTCAGCGGCGATAATACAAGCTCGTTTAAATAACGTGTTTAAATAATTTATGATGATTTTTTTTTTACACGCGTGTAGTCCAAGTTAATACATTAGAATAATGAGGCATCAAATATGCGTGGCGATACTCTGGTTAAAAATATTCATAAAAGCGGGAAAAAAAACCAGACGAAACAATTTTGTCGTGAGACAGTAGCATAAGATTCATAAGTGTAAAAGCAAGTGTCCCACAAAGTGGATGCAGCCATTAATAATTCTAATGTTTAACAATCCAAGTAAAAGCCTCTTCACAATGGAAATCCGACAGCGGACGCCGTCCTTTGCCTTTTCTTAGACAGACAAGAATCATATTGCAGATATATCTTCAGAATCCGAGAACAAAAACAATTCGAATTCTACTTTTTAGAAAATAAATATTGAGATATTTTTATTTCCTTTCCCCTAGAGAATGTAATTAGAAATATAATATGTATAATATAAAATATAATAGAATATAATTATATTTTCAAGGTAGAGACTTACAAGATAGATTTGCAAATTCTTTAAAAAAAATTTTACATGTATTTCCCAGTGAACATCGAGCATCAGTTACATTACATCTATGTTATAATTTCTTATTCAACAATACAATATAACGTCTTATATTGTTTATACTGTTATGTAACTGATGCTCGATACGTGCAATATTTACTGAGCTCCAATTTCAAAGACATAATATCAATTATTTAATTAATTAGGCAGAAACGTTGAAATTAACTAGGCAGAAATTTAAATTAATTTTACATTTAACAAAAATAAAAGTGACTTGAAGGATTAGCTGATATTTTTTAACGTGCAAATTTTACAATTGATTGCCAGACCCTTTCGCGAGATGCAACAACTTTTTTCGACAACATCTGGCCGCAGCATTTTTAATAATTATGTAATAACAAGTTACCTGTCAACGATCCAATTAAGAGGTCTGTATGTCAAACTTCTTATCTCATATTGCCATGCAGAAGGTAATTATGCAGAGTGTTTGATTGTTCGCACCATAATTCAACTGAAAACGATGATGAGGAAAATTGAACGCGAAGATTCTTATATGATACTGATATTAATATGTGTACTTTACACATATGAAATTAAACAAGTAAAATTTAGACTGTCTTTTTGAAAAATATAGCGTCTTAAGAAAGGTAAAAAAAATTATTTGCGCATTTTATAATACTAAAAACATTTTTTAATCAAATTCCAATTATATATCCTAGTATCATAAATGATATTTATAAAATATATATTCATATGTATGATTTTATATGATGTCTTAAAAGACACAGTTACTTGATCATCCTTATTTGATAAATAGATTATAAATAACATATTAAAAATACACGAGAGAAATGTATACAATAAAAAAGTGAATGATACAATCGTTCTTTATACATTCAAGAAATATATGGAAAGGCGCGCAAACGCGCTTTCCTATATTTTTTTATTCATTTATCTGTTAAACATTACAGATTGTTCACACAAATATCAGACGTTGAAATTTTTTAAAATAGAGGAAAGAATCTCCTTTTTTACGGCAATTTCACGGTAAACCTCGTTCCATGGACCGTACGTAAGATCTATAATTTCTTGAGCACGATTTAAATATCGTCGTGTTTTCTTCAACACGTTTCTGTAACAAATACATAATGCATTGCAATAAACGACAAACGGACGTAATTGTAGTTCAGTACAATCTAAACGACAAAATTTCGACATTTACTTGTAAAATTTGGATGATGTATTAGATTCTTCTTGCAAATATTGCAGGCATATATCCGTTAATTTATTTATTTCATTGCAGACTTCAATGCTCCAAGAGCCGTATCTTTCTTCAATGGCCACGATACTGTGTTCGAGATACGAAATCGAATTCAACCATTGTCCTAAAATCAGAAAGCAATAACAATGGTTATTGGGATGACGCATAGCTCTGTACAAGAACGATTGACTTGAAATCGAATATCAGATTCGATACCGATTGTCATCCCACATATATTCGCATCATTGATACAAACCCATAATAGCGTACACCTTTGCCATGAGATCCATAGTAGCGGCAATGTCCTCGTGATACTTGTATAATGCGTCCTTTCTGAGAAGCAAACATTCTTTCAGTTTAATTAACGCCTCCTCGTACTTTTCCTCCTCTATGCAAATTTCTGCTTTGGCAAAGTGGTGTTGGGCCTGTCTCAATGTAAAGTCATAAATATTTTCATAGACTGCCGCTCCGCAATCTATACAGTACATGGAAGAGTGGCAGTTATCACTCAACGGTCCGCTACATTCAGGACATTTCATCGCAGAAAATTTTTTCTGTAAAAGAATAAGCGTACATTTATGTATGTGCATATATTATATATCTACACACGTACAGACAAAATATGATAATGTACAACATTGTAAATATCCAAAAATAATTAATATAGTTTACCAAAATATCTTCATATTCTGGTAGAGTGCATGCTGTACAAGTGCACTTAAAGCAGTATTGACCTTCCATTTTTTCCTGTCTTTCCCTTTTCAACATTCTTCTAAAATCAGCTCCTGTCGCATAATATCGAAAGTGAGATAAAAACAAAGAAACTAAATCAATAAAATATATAATGATTTGTTAATTTATTATCAACATTTAACATACCGTAACAATTGAAAACTTCTTCACCCGTCGCAATATCCCGTGTGGCTTTAGTTATTAAAGTTTGCCCTAAAAAGCTAAAGAATAATAGCGTTAGTGCCACTGATTAAAATATATATATATATATATATATATATATATATATATTTATTTTCTATGTACATTTATGTAAGCAATGAACAATTGTGTCTCATTTTTCATAATCAAAATATCTATATATATTACCTATTAATTATATTAGGATCACAAGAATGATTCATCATACTTGCAGAGGGATAAATCGCTGTAGCTATTCTATCTTGTTGTTGAATAAGGAGTTTATTTTTATTATTATCCGCTATCGCGTTTATCTTTGTGATAGCATGCCCATTAGAAATAAGCTGTAATATATTTCTCAACAGTAGAGAACTTACATACAATCGTTCATCCCCCTTTGTCGCGAGGTCACAATTGAGATCGTTACAGAACTTTGATACTAAGCATTTTTTAAGATTGACAACTTTAAAAAAATCTGTATGTTTTGATAGATACAGCGTAAGCATAATTGCCGTCTGAAAGAGAGAAGTAATTAAGGATAATGCGATAAATTTAGTTTTACGAAAAATTCTCTATACCATGGCACATACGTCACATATCTTATTTTCGCGTGAAAATTATTACACTTACGATTCCATACGAAATAACGTCGCATGGTTGCAGTTTCGAAAAATTAGTCACTAGGTCTTGCACTTCATTAAGTCTGTTATCCTCAGTTGCAGCTGTACACTTGAACAACGTTCTTACAGCCAGATATGCTATTCCAATGTGCGACCAAAGGCCCATTTGATTGCCAAGACATTCCCAACGATGGCAAGACGAGCGTGCTTCATCCCAACAATCAATATTGCAATACGCACTGTCGACACACTCTGTACATCTGTGTAAAATTTAACATATTTTACACATATATAATACATATATGTATTTGGCGATTTCTCAAAGCACAAGAAATATAGAAACTTACGGTACAGGAGTATCGCCGCATGAGCGACAACAATTGTAACAAATATAAGTTTTAACGTGAGGCAATGGGACAAAAGCGAATGCCTTTTCAACGAATAGAATCTGACCCCTTTTGATATCTCTATTAGCTACCACGTATCTCCCCTTTTCTGGAGCATATTTCACTTCTATCGCCGCCGATGCGGACCGAAAATTAGGATTTTCGCCATATGCGACTTCGGGCTGTGAGGGAAATTCCGTAGTATCTGTGGTATTGTCCGCATTATCTTCCATGCATGATATTCTCGATGTTATGTCTTTCATTTGTCTCCGTAACCGCTCTAAAAAATTTTAATAATTCTTGATTATGTGAGAAATACGAGAAAGATGTCTACAAATGAACAATTTTTTCCTCCAACTTAAATATATACAAAGTGAATACTTACCTTTCTTTTCGTTCGGCATATTACGCTGATTCAGTATGTTATGCATTTGCAAAACAGTTTCAACAGCTGATCCTCTATTACCTAATTTCAGATAACACTGAGCTGCACGCAGATGTAGTTTGTAACGTAAATTCTCAGGATAGCCTAATTTAATCGCCAATTTGATATCGTTGATGCAATCCTTTTTGCGTTATCATGCAAATAATAAATTTACTTGTAAATAGAGTAATCATTTTATAACATTAAACTTGTTATTATCAACAAAATAAATATGTTTTATTAAACTTGTTATTATCAACAAAATAAATATAAAAAATAAAAATAATTAAATAATTGTAAAAAAAAGTATTTATAATATCAATTTACCTGCCACCTGTCCAGATAGAATAGGGAGGCTGATCTATTTGCGATTGCTATTGACAAGTCTACACTATTTGAGGGAGCGTACAACGCACTTTTCGTGTACAATTCCAGTGATGCAGCATACTTTTTCGATTGAAACTCCTTGTTCCCGGACAACTTGAAAGCTGTTGATATTTCCAAGTCCTTCTGCCGTTTTCTCTTATCTCTTATGTCGTAGAGAACATTCAGCCACGCGGACACTAATTGCCTGCATCCCAAATAAGACGATGCAATACGCTCCAGCGCACATTTTAATTGAAATAAACAATTTTGTTTATTCCTAAAATTTAACTTACACTCTCTCTAATAGACAAACATATACAGGGTGTTGAAAAATGGTGGTACCAAGTTTTAGGAGTATGTAGTACTCGTGAAAACAAATCGAAAAGTCTTCGCAAGTGTTACTCCAAAAATAATTTACGTGCTCCCCCGTTCATTTTAAAACAATTCGTCATACTTTTTTATTGAAGATCGGAAACGTTCAAAAATTTCAGATTTAATTCGTATTTGTTAACAGGTTTTCAATTTTCTGTATTAGTTCATCCAATGTGTCAACTGATGTGACATACACCATGCTCTCCAAATGTTTCCATAAATAAATGGAGTAAATCCAATGAGCAAGGTAACCATGCAACTGAACGCGTCCTATCCACTTTTCTTGAAAACAATTGTTTGTTTAAATGTTGTTTAATAATTATGAGGAAATGCACAGGGACACCGTCGTGCAATCGAACTACATTTGTTATCTACGTAGAAGAGGAATATCTTTCAAAAGTTCGACGACGTTCATTATTATCGTCAACCTTAGAAGCTCATGAAGGACGAGTAGATGAGTGGTCGCGTGTAAACATGTTACACAATGCATATGCGTGAAACGAACAGAGAATACATTGAATGCTTCATAACTGAGAAATAAATGGTATTTGGAGTAATGCTTGTTGAAACTTTTCGGCTTGTTTCCACGAGTCCTACATACGTCTAAAAATCACCTTCTTTTAACATTCTGTATATAATATAATAAATATATTACCGTTAATTAAAAATAGGGAATATAGAATGAGTGAAATTTTATTTCAGAAGAACGCACTAGTAATGAGCTCTTCATTATCTCGCCAGAATTTAATAAAATGATTATTTTAAA